CAGACAACCTCTCGTCAATATGCGTTTTTCGCATTGCATTGCTGCAAAAAACGCATAAAAAGCTGGGTATTTTTTAACATTGCGGCACCATGTTGATAGTCTTTTGCGATCTTGGCTGTCTTCCTTCCACACTTAATGCGGCTTGCATTAGTTCGGATGCCAATTTCATTGCAGAATAGAGCAGGAAATCAGTCTGCAAACATATTTGAATAGTCTTATCGACAATGATCTGGCAAAGAAACTGGATGAATTGAGGCAAAAGAGGAAAAACGACGGAGAAGAAATTGAAGTCATATCCGACGATGTAGAAGACGAGGAGCAGGTCTTGAGAATGGAAGCCGAATCAAATAAGAATAAATTAAATAGCTTATTTGCTCAGGTAAACTGTTTTTGATCGATTTGGGTGTAAGGTCTATGATTATTACGGCCCTGACTGTCGAACTGCGAATGGGGTTTCGGCTTTGACGGGGGAAATGGTAATTATCTTGCTTTTCTTTGCAGGTGGATGAAAGAAGGAGAAAAAGAGAAGTGCCTGATTTTTTGTGCGGTAAAATTAGTTTCGAGCTGCTACGCGACCCCGTCATTACGCCAAGTGGTATAACTTATGACCGTGCCGATATCAAGGAGCACTTGCAGCGAGTAGGGCACTTTGATCCGGTAACCCGGGCACCGCTCACTGCTGATCAGCTGATACCCAATCTTGCTATGAAAGAAGTAAGATTAAACCTGTTTTGCTAACTTGTTTTCTGAAATTGCTTAATTATCACTCTTTTCTTTAAAATTTTCTGTTGGTGTTGGATGATCGATTGTACAGTTTATGGTCAGAGGGCAATTCCGTAAGGAACGCCGGTATAGATGTAGGTCATCGTTGTATTCTAATAAGAAGATTATAAAATCATGAACACATGCATCCGCATGTATTTTCTGTCAGAACAACGACTCTAGTGAAACAAATGAATATTTTTCGCCACAATTTATATAGATAAGTATCTATGATTATACAGAGAAAAGAGGAGGAGTGAGTAGGAATCGTATGAAGAGGTTAGAAGCGCAACTTCCTCACCTTGGCGCATCTTTGGATTCCCCGTTTTTCGGTTGGCAGCCACTGCACAAGTCCGAATGTGACCTTGAAGAGCTTCCTCACCCGCGCAGTGGCTTGATTTCGCCAACTGTGTAATATGCTTACTGCTGGCAAAGTCCAGAAGAACGAGGAGGAGTAGAAAATAAATGGCAACGCGCGCCTGACTAGCCAGTGCGATCATGCGTTTTGTGCATTTCAGCCCATCAAACGATTGCCTATTAATGATTTTCACTGCTTTGTACTTTTGTCTATGCAAAAATAGTTGGAACATTGAAAAATAGTTAGAAATCTCACGCATCTGCGCATGAAAGCTGAATTCGAAACCTTGAAGGGGGAATATCTTTCCGTGTTTCCCGAATTAATAGTTTACCCGCCAAAATTTTCACGAAGCTGTAGGTGATATCCGAGAGCGCAGGGACGCTGAATTTGAATAGGCAGGGCGGGGCAGGGGATTATTACCCTAAAATTTCAGCTTTTTAGACTCCGTGGTTCCCGGGATAATAATTTACCCGTAAAAACTTTCACTAGCCCGTAGATGATACCCAAGAGCGCGGGAACGCTGAATATGTATTTGTAAGATCGTTCGTGGGCAAGGAGTCGCAACCCTAAAATTTCAGCCTCGTAGACTTCTTGGTTCCCGAGATAATAATTTACCCGCGAGAACTTTCACTAGCCCGTAGGTGTTACCCGAGAGCGCGGGAACGCTGAATTTGAATAGGCAAGGCAGAGGGTCATTACCCTAAAAATTTACCCGTCAAAAATTTTCACGGCGCGGTATTTGTTACCCGCGAGCAGGGGAAAGCTGAGTTTTCTGGGTAGCGCATGGGCGGGGGACATGCCCACAAAATTTTAGCCTTCTGCCTTCCGTGGTTCCCGAGATACTAGTTTTACCGAAAAAATTTTACGGGGCGTACTTGTTACCCGCGGATACGGGAAGGCTGAATTTAAATTTGCCGCGTCACACGTTGTGGGACACACACACACAACTACGTGACAACATGCGTTCTGTACTGCTGTTACACAGCACAAAACGCATAAAAAGGCATTAATATTAAACCATTGGATGTGTTTTAGTCATTGGAAGGTTTTGAAAGAAAAAAACTGAGAAAGTGAGCTTCAAAATTTCGAGTTTATTCTTTTGTAGCCGTCGATACATGTTGACGAGCTCTCCGCCATTCGTTACTTTGAGCCTCACTCAATCGTATATATCCCCCGTTCTTCCTCAGCAGTAAATGTAAAATTATCCATTTGCAGGTGGTTGATCACTTTTTGAGCGAAAATCAATGGGCCATCGATGCTTAAATCCTATTGATGTCGCTAATGACCTCTGTTACTGATAATACTGTTCATCGTTTCATATGTCACTTATAATTTTCGCAAGTCAAAAACTGCTCAGAAGAGAACTTCAGAAAAAAAATAATCGAATTGGTGGGGGGAAAGGAGGGCCGACGTATTTTCTGGCTGGAACTTTAAATAATTTCACGC